GACGCGGGACTCTGCTTAGTCCGTGTCACAGCTTTTATTAAGTGTAGCTTCAAGTGATCCAGCTCTCTATTATTGAGAGAAGACTGGGATATTTATACCATGGGGGTAGTGGTAAAAGCTTTGGCTGATAGATACTTTGTGAGACATTCTATTTGCATATGGAAGTGGGTTTCTGCTATGCTGTCAGACTGCTGACTGCCTGAAAAATCACACAGGAAAGCATGGTATTCCTAGAGCCAGAGGCCATGTTTATGTTAGGGCATTTGTGGTGGGCACTTCAAAAGGAAAGTCAGGAAAAATGCCAGGAAGGCACCCTGCTATGAAAGGAGTCCCAGCACATGGTTCCGAGCTCGTGAGCTGTCCGGATATGAAGAGACTTCTACTTTACACAACAGAGGCCCCCAACACCCAAGTCTCCTCTTTTGCCAGGTGGCACCCCTGACAAGGTCTGCTTCACTTAGAGAAGACCTGCTCTAGAGCCTGCTGCTGCCATCACAATAGTCCTCCAAGGAGAAGCTTGCCTTCCTCCAAAGTGGGCAGAAGACAATGGCCACACAATCTCCTGACAATTTTTGACTTTGAGAGAGGGACTTTGCTCTGTAATCGAGGCCTCAAACTTGAGGCAGTCCTCCTGCCTCAGCTTCTGAAGTGCTGGGATTTCAGGCATGAACCAGCACCCTCTGCCCACTGCTTATTTTAAGTGTAAGATTCCAGGACGCCGCAGTATTGTGTGAATAGGACACCATGGCACGGAAAAGCGTGTTTGGGGTCTGTGGTCTTCTCTCTGCACATTTCTGATAGAATATATTTAATATCCATTTATACTTAACATTCTTAGAGTTACAAAAAAATGTTTTTTAAAAGAATCTTTAAAATTAACAAAAAATATAAAGATCAACCTGTTTTCACTGACATGTATGTATCTAGTGGCTTTGTACTCTCATGTATCCCCAAACCCATAGGTACCCCCAAATATTCATTGGTTGTCCTTCATTCTTTGATCTCTCTGATTATCTCTCAGCACAACATGCTGAACAAGCAACACCCTCCATTTTCGGGTGGGTCCTCTGTCATAGGTACACCAGGAGGCCCTGGTAGACCTGGACGGGAAGTTCCAGCCGACTTTACAAAAGGCTGTTTGTTTTTTTTTTTTTTAATTGATTTTTTTTTACATGCATATATTTCATACAGAACATCCCAAACAATCTTATTCATCTTTATACCCGCATCCCAAATGGCACCCTCCCATAGCTTACCCCTCCCTGACTGGAGCCCATATATTCTGTCATCCCTGTTACTGTCCACTGTGTTGTCAGTGTCCCCAGCATTTCCCCAGTACAAGTCCATCCACTGAGTCTAGTCAGCCTATCTAGAGTCCCTTGTTTTAGGAAAATCAGCTTTTCTTCATCTAGCAGCAATCAGCTGCCAACATTCCTTTACATAAGATTGGGATCTGCTGTTCATTTTCCCAGTTCTATGCTGGGTTACTGTTTGCCTGAGTTTGTATGGGACTTGTGTGTGCTGATACCTTTGCCATAGAATCATACGAGCAGGTTCCCAGGAGCTTGTAGGATTCTGTTTCCATATGGTCATGTACATCCACTATGGCTCTTACAGTATCTCTTCTTCCTCTTCCACAATGGTCCCAGAGCCTTGGGTAGATGAAGTTTAATAAAGCGGTCCTGTCCAAGGACCATTAATTAGCAGATTCTTGATCTCTACACTTTGGCCTCCTCCACTGCATGAGGAGCTTCATAACTGAGAGCTGAGTCCTTAGTGTCCTCTTCTTTATCCCTGTTCTATGTTCCATGAGCCTTAGGTGTAGAGGTTGCATTGCAGATGTGTCCCTTACGCCTGGACAATTCATAGACAACGTCCATGTGTGACCAGTTGTGGTATTTGGTATTAGTCTCTGACTACTGCAAAGTGAGCTTCTCTGGTGAGTGGTGACTGGGATATTTGTATGTAAATATAAGGATACATATTTTTGCACATAGTAAGAAATCATATTAGTTTAGCGATGTGATAGTTTTGGGGTTTTCTCTAAGATCTATGACCATTCCGGCCATGTGTATTGTTATGTTACAGTACTACACTTGAGTTTCCTCCCTTTGAGTGGGCTTTTAGTCAAATTAGGTAGCTGTTGATTGCCCCCAAGACAAAGTGTTACTACTGCACCAATGGGGCATGCTGTGCCAGCCGTTGATGTGGTTATTGGGTCTTGAACCGGGTGCTGGATCATCCGTTGTTTTCCCTTGGCACTTCCATAGCGATCTCCAAAGCCTTCAGAGGAAGTGACTTCCAGGTCAGCTGCAGCTCTATTTCTCCAAATCCTGTGTCTGACATATGTTCTTTCTTCAGTAGTAGGGCCTTACCTTTAAGTTCTGGGAGGCTAAAAGCTGTGGCAATAGCCTGAGTAATTTTGGGAGTCTCTTGGACCACCCTGGCCAACAACTCAAAGGAAGGTATCTCCTGTATGGCACCATTTCTTGTTTGTGTAACCTTTAGCTATGCACATGGACTTTTTTTTTAATATTTTATTTTTATTTTTAAAAATATTTTATTTTTATTTTATGAGTGTATTGCCTGTATGTATGTGAGTGCACCCATGTAGCGCAATGTCGTGGAGGTCAGAAGAGGGCATCTGATTCCCCTGGAACTGAAGGACAGTTCGTAGCTGCCATGTGGGTGCTGGGAATTGAACCCGGGTCCTCTGCAAGAGCAGTCAGTGCTCTTAACCCGAGCCATCTCTCCAGCCCCACACATAGACTCTTAAAGAAATATACTGATCACTTTAATCTTTGGTTATACTTTCCTTTTGGGTGTTTAAGACCATACAGTTGGCCCAAATAAACTCAATTTATTTTTACTCTTAAGGTCATTTGAGGATCTGTTCCTCAGGGGTCACATGGGCTTGGGAGGAAGGAGCCCCTGGCTCCTTTTACCAGTTCCATCTATGTGAAGGTAAGTCCTGCTCAACCATGGCTGGTTTCACTTGGAAGCATGGAGGAAATGTTTCCTCTGTGTTGACCCTCCTCTTTGTAGACTGGACACTGGTTCAAGTCCATCTGGTGGGGTCTCCATGGCCTCCCTGAATAAGAGGACAGGTGACTCACCACAGTTACAGGACATTTTGAGAGATGCTCCATAGTCCCCTGGAACTTAGTCAACCTTGGAGGGCAAGGAGCAAAAACTGTCCTTTACATCTCTCTGACCAGTTTAGTATAGGCCTCAAAGTACGGCTGTTAAACATCCAAGGTCAGTTCCACCACTCTGGTACTTTTAACTACCATGTGCTATGTAGATAGTTTGGCAAAAACCTAACATTCTCAGATAAACCTTGACTAGACAAACATCTCCTATGATCCCACCTCTCTTGAGCTCCTTCTTTCCCTTTAATCCTCAAAGTTCCTTGTATAGCTCTCCCTCCCAAAAGATTTTTTTGTTTTTCATTTGTAATTTTTTTTTTCTTCCTCTACAGTTTACTCATCCCTTCATGGATGGAGACCTAGTTGTGTAGGAATTCTGCTACACAACTATACTAATTATTTGCTTGGTGACAGCTTTGACCTTTCTCCCAATAGGCCCATCCTCTAAATTTTAGTTGAGGAAATATCCTCAGGTTTTAGACCTTCTAGTCTATGAGTTAAAACAGAAGGCATGCAGTTCTCAATGAGGTAATGAGGTGATGACGGAAGAGCTAATGGTGTAAACAATTATTTGAATGCAAACATACATATTATATACACACACACATATGGGGGAGAGACAGAGACAGAAGAGAGAGAGTGGAAACTAAAACAGAAGCTTGGGTAACAGCTATGGTTTATGCCGTTTCCATTGTGTGGTAAGAGCGTTATTGTGGTGACCCTAATTCACCCTAAAGGTTAGCAAAGAGTAAAAAAAAAAAATTGTATTTTAAGGGGTAATTGCTGTATAACACAGCAACGCAGTGGTAAACAAACAGCAACTTACCCATATACGTAAGTAAAGATTTGGTGATCCAAGCAGAGTATTTTAATGAAATCATGACACAAATTAGGACCAATCAAACTTTGGTTCCCCTCCTTTCCTGTAGCTGGAGTTGATGAATTCAATTTGTTAGGTTTTACTACTAGAATTTTCAAATGAAACTAGCAACACATTTAAAAGTATCTTTATAATCTAAAGCTTCCTTATATAATACAACAGAAACCTGTCATTAAGGCAATCCAGTCAAGAATGTTCATTTAAAAAACCAGACACAGACCAAATTCTGGAGAATAACCGTTTATGCAGAAATGTAACTACCATACCGACTAGATAACATGATTGTGCTTTTTGTACCAAAATGATCAAAGTCACCTGCTGAGTTCTTAATTATACTAAAACCCCAAACTAAACAGTCTATTTAATGCTTAGCCAGTATTTGCTTTAACCTGTCAGAATAGCATCTAAGTAAAGCCAGACACCAGGGGCCTCAATAAATGAGCCCATCAGAGCACTGGACTGAAAATGTCAGCCCTAGGTATGCAGCACTTTAAAAGACTGTATTTGATGCTATGGGATTCATATGAAAGGCACTGGATATGCAGCAGACAGTGAGTGTATCTAGCATAACACACTGTACACGGTGTGTGTTCATGTCTAGGTGACACAAACATTTTCTGGGCTTCCACACTCAAGTATCAGCTGGTAGAAATGCCCACAGAAGCCTTTGCCATAAAGGATAACTGGTACCACTTCCTAAAGCTCTGTAGGAAATAAGCATTCTTTGGAGATAGGACTGTCTTCTAAGCAGTCTAAGTGGATACATTTGTTCACATCTGAATTTCTGTTAAGCCAATATAATCTTGAAGGAAGAATTTTTCCTCTTTACTCCTTAAATTTTGTTAGTTTTTACCATGCTTGTACTAAAATTTATTTGTATCCGAAACGGCAGTTCCTTAGAAGCAATTTTAAAGAGGCTTTGCTTTTGTCATACACCAGGTACTGCGCACACACCAGGAACACAGAGGGTGTCTGGATATAGAACATTTATTTTTCCATGAAACACTCAAGAGTTTAGGTCAGTGGGAAATAACTTTAATCAAAGAATTTTACATTTTCTTCCCACACATACTGCTTTGAATTAGGAAATGATATTGTAATCCATTTCACTACAAGTAAAATATTACAAAATATTTACATGAAAATGTTAAAAATAACTCAAAACACAAAAGCCAAGATGAAATAAGCTGTTTTCTCCAGGAATCTCTATTCCAGTGCCCACGAGAGTCAAAACAAGTGAGTGACTAAAACCCCATCACAAATTCCCAGCGTGGAGATGGGGGAGGAATGGGATGAAATGGCGGCCTCAGGGGAGAACGGTTGTTAGCAGCACTGCTCCGATACCCAGTCTGTTCTGAATGAAACACCCCCTGTGTAGTAAATTCCCAGCAAGGCTAACCTGCAGGAGATTCCTGGAACTGAAATTAGGAACCACCCTGACAGTAGAAGCAGCTCTTTTACTGAACTTAACAAGAGCCTCTTGTTCCCCGAAACACAGTGCCTATCCTGACCTGAGCTGTCACAGCAGCCCCTCCATCTCTTTCATGAAGGCTTCATAGACATCGTCCTTGGTTTGTACTGAGACAGGAACAGAAGGACCAGATTTGGGGGCTGCTTTGGCGAGAGGCACAGCAGAATCATCCTCTGACTTTCTCTGGGGAATAGCGGTAGCCCCTTTATTCTCCCGACGAACCCTCAGCGCAGTGGGCACAAATCTGGTAATCTCTGCCTTGGGGTTGGTGATCTGTGGCTTGGCACTGATGGTTGCTGTGGCTTTTTTCTCAATGGTGGCTGCACTTGTATCATCCGCCTTGGGTCGCTGAATCAAGTTGGGTGGGGCACTTAACACCCCTGGGTTTGGCAAGGGAGCTGGTGGGAAAAGCCCAGGTGGAGCAGGTCCAAGAGGAGGCACCAAGGGTGGGCGCATCATGCCAGGACGAGGTGGGGGGATACCTACGTGAAGAGGAAGGCAGGATGAGCATAAGAACCAGGAGCCTCCAGCTGCTATTTTCTTCAAACAGATGACAATGAAGCTGAACTAACACTATGTGCTATAGTAAGTCAGGAATATTATAATAATGTAAAGTATTCAACTTTACTTTGTTTATATCTCTGTACTCAGAGCAATGTTTTCCTCCTCCAAACACTACTTATTAAATATGGAAATATGTAACGTCAAACTGACAGTGCCAACTGGTCTCAGACAGGATTTCCAACCTGGCTGTGGATGCTGTCCCAGCTGTGCAGGGCAGTGCTCTCCAGACCAAGCACAGTGCTGATCCTCAGGCAGTAATCACTTGTTTTTGTATCACTCACTGCCAAAAAATGTAACTCAGTTGACAGGGGATAAAATCCTAACCCTGGTCCTTAACGGACATGGAACAAGAAACTATGATCTGTCATTTAAAAAGCTCACATACTACTAATGACTCAGATGTATACACACATCAAAAATACTTAAGACTTTACATTTCTTGAAAAGCCACTTAAGATCAAATACGAAGTACCAAATTGCATCAATTTAGGATGCAACTGATTATATAAGCTCAGTTATTCAACATACCACTAAGAGAAATAAAAAGCCTCAGCTGTTCAAAAAAGCAATCTGCAGATTAAACTGGGACATCCATTGTGGTAAGCCAGAAACTGGCATGTAACACACCCTGCAAGAAAATCTGCAGGGCTAACGTGAACAACAGGCAGAAGGAAGGAAAAACATCTTTGTGATTTTAAACTTTATGTTGTTATTCACGCAGACCCATGGGGCTGTGCGCTCAGAAAGTGGACGTTCTCAAATAGATAAGCTTCTCAAAGTGAGGAGCAGAAATATATGCAAATGTCCACTGAAGAACCCCACTTCCAACCAGGCCAGCAGTCACCAAACCACCACCTGAAAGATGCTCCTCAAACACTGAAAGAGGACAGTGGACCTTAGAGTCCAGAGACCATGGATGGGCCCTAAAGCCCACAGGCTAGTTTTGTTTTATGAATTGAAAACCTCACCTGGAGGAGCAGGGGGAGGCAGCCTTGGTGGGGGTCCTCGAGGAGGAGGGCCTGGGGGCAGACCTGGAGGTGGACCTGGAGGGGGGCCAGGAGGTCGGCCTGGTGGTGGTCCTGGAGGTAAAAGTCGTGGTAAAGGTCCACGAATTCCTGGCATTCCAGGTGGTCTCAGGAATGGAGGCGCCCCTGAAAGAGAAAATAAATCAATGTCAAGAAAATTATTGTGTTATAAAGGTAACCTACATAATGACTTTATTTAGAAATTAGACCTCTTTTTAAAAAATATTTTATTATTTTTATGTGTATGTGTGCACTGCCTGCATGCAGGTAAGTGCACCTGTGTCGTGCAATGCCCGAGAAGGACAGAAGAGGCCTTAGGATCCCCTGGGACTGTAGTTACGGACAATTGTTAGCTGCCATGTGGGTGTTGGGACTGAAACTTGGATCTTCTGCAAGAACAACTAGTGCTCTTAACTGCTGAGCCATCTCCTCCAGCCCCCCAAATTAGACCTCTTTAAAAATGCAATGAAACGTGTAGAAAGAGAATCCATTCAACAAACATCTTAGCAGTGGAAAGCAGTACTAGATCTGTTAGATCTTTCTATTAGGTTCTACTCTGAAGCAAAGCACACTCAATCATAACTCTTTGGGGTAGAAATATAAAGTGAGACTTTTTTATATGGTTCCAGTGTAAGCTGAAAACGACGCTTTAAGAACCTCAAAACTCATGATAGAATACTGAGAATTTCACACAATAGGTATTTCAGCTTTGCATCAATCAAAAAGGAATCAGCTCAACGGAAGACAACTGACTTGTTTCAAAGTGCAAATATGCTTTTAGCTGAGCACTTGACAACAGTCTGTCTCTTTTTTTTTAAAAAAAATTGTATTTATTACTTTTATTGTTTTGTGTACGGGTATACTGCCTCCATGTACGCTGTGCAATGCCTGTACAAGTCAGCAGAGGGTGTCAGATTTCTCGGGAACTGGACTTGTGGACAGTTGTTAGGTACCATGTGGGTGCTGGGAATCAAACCCAGGTCCTCTCTAAAGAGCAGCCGGTGTCCTTAACTGCTGAGCCATCTCTCCAGCCACCAGACTTTGTCTCTTAAAGAGCTGTTAACACTGACATTCAACAATTCCTAACTTTAGAAGAACATGAGATGGTATTAACTGTCCCCTAGTCCCATCTGAGAGCAACACAGAACTGCGTTAATCTGTTATAATAAAGTAGTAAAGAAAGTACGGTTAGGTCCAAGTCTCTAACTCATTCAGCCAGAAACAAGGACCCTAAAATAAAGAAAAGCTTTAGACAAAAAAGGTGCCTGTCAGGAGAACTATGAGCTACAATGACTGTGGAATGGAAGCGTCACTTCCTTTGAGAATCCTTGAGGACTTTCATTAGGAGGAAACAAGGAATTATCAACACTAACAAGGCATGCTCCTTTTTGGAATGAGTCCACTCTGGCCTGTTTCAACTTATCACTCCCACCCTGGAGCTTACCTGGAGGGGGCCCAGGAGGAAGGCCTGTAGGTGGCCCAGGAGGCCGTAAGGGCGGAGCAGGTGGTGGTCCAAGTGGAGGCGGTCCTGGCATGGGAGGAGCTTGTATCTGAGAAGGAGCAGCAGACTGCGGGGGCGCCTGCTGCTGGGAGGAAGCAGTCGCGCTGTCAGAGTGAGAATCCTCCTTGTGCTGCTTCTGTGATGGCTTTTCCGCTTCAGAATCATCCGAGTCATCTTCATCATCGTCCTCTGAAAATTCCTCCACTTCCCGTCCTTCCTCGGGGATTTCCTGACCTGAAAGAAAATGTTAAAATTAGTTCATTTTTTTTATAGCTTTGAGAACAGCAACAACTGAGGACACATTTTTAGAAAACGTGTTCCTAAAAGCCAACAACTCTTCCACAAGCTATTTGAAAATGGAATGATCGGTAGTATTCTGTTTCTTCATACTAGTGTGGCACAGCGTAACGAATGCATGTTACAGGACAGTCACGAATTAAATGTCAACTCAAGGCCAACAAAATGGGTCAGTGGGTAAAGGTGTGTGCTACCAAGCCTGCCAATATGAGTTTGATTCCCAGGATCCAGAAGGTGGAAGTGGAGAACTGACCCCCACAAGCTGTCCTCTGACTTCCACATGTATGTTCTGGCATGTATACACACACACACACACACACACACACACACACACACACACAAGTAACAAATGGCTCCACATGTTAAGCTTTGTAAAACACAGCAAGTGGCACAAGGAATTCTCAAGGGTGACTCTTCCCCAACTCACCTGCCATTCGAAGCATCATGGCTTGAAGAGGGGTCAGCTCCTTCATGTTCTTCTTCTTCTTCCGTGATTTTCCAGGCATATCAGCGAATCGTACACTCAGACCTAAGAGGTGGCAGAAGGAGAGGGATAGGTGGGAATTGTCAAAATTCAGGGTATTTTCACTACAGAACAAACACTAAGAGGTCTATATGATTCTAACCCATTACTTGGCAGAGGACAAATGCAGAGAGACAGGCACATTTAAGACAATCGATGCAGGGCTGACTGATACACATACACCATAGTGATTTAACATTTAGAGATCTGAAAACTTTAGGATACTTGAAATAATCTTTAGGCCAATAAAACAATACCTATATAAAATTATTTAAAAAAAAAATTAAATAAAATTGGCCAATGAAATCATTAAGCTCAGAACAAAAAACTGGAATAGTAAAGATTAGGACTGGAGGGATGGCACAATGGTTAAGAGCACTGGCTGCTCTTCCAGAGGACCCAGCACCCACATGTCGGCTCACAACTGCCTCTAACTCTAGTTCCAGGGGATCCATTACACCTGTACAAATGCCAAACATGAAATCATAGGAATTCCCTGCAAAGGGACACAGGATGACTCATGAAGCCAGCATTACATGAAATCAAAGCTAACCTATTGGCCAATACAAAATATACGCAAACCGAGCCCAACAGTGCTGTAAACAATATCATATGCATGCACTGAAACCCAAGTGTTTTAGCATTAGAAAAGCTAGCCATCAAGTTAGCAATGTCATTCTAACAGGTGCCTAAAATTATGGTGTTCCCCAACAACAGCTCTCAGGAAACTAGGAACAGAAAGACTTCTTAAGCTGAAAGCCTGTCCACTAGACATTGCTGAACATCAAGTTTAATGGTGAAGTATCAAGTGCAGTCTTAGCAAACATTAAGGAAGGTATATTTCCATGCAGATGGGGCTTTAGTTTCTCTTGTATTTAGTGCCCAGAAAGACAGCATGCGTATGGTAAAAATGATAAAGATGAGCTGAAAGAATGCCAAATCACAGCTGGAATGGCCATTTGAAGAACACGTGTGCTGATAGAAGAAAACACACGGGCGGAAGAGGATGAAGCTAAGACTACATGGTCTCACAGGAAATGCAGTTTCAGGGGTCCCTATTCTTCTTTCCATTCTAATCTGAGTTCCTACTTAGTAGCCTGTAATTTTCCAATGCTAGCCTCTGTCCACCAGTCTAACTAGTCTTCTCATTTGAATTGTGAGTTTTTAAGAAATTATCAAGACAGGGGCTAGAGGTAGCTCAGTGGTTAAGAGCACCCGCTGTGCAATCCTCGAGTGTGTATCCCAGCACCCATGTAACAAACCAAACTTCTGCAAATACTGGTAACTGCAACTGTCTGGGATCCACACCCTCTTTTGGCCTCCCATGCATGCATACCCACACACATGTGCATAGACACATACATACACCAAAACCCCCCAAAACTTAAAAATCCTAAGATAAATAAAAATATAGCATATAAAAAACGTGTTGTACACTCTAAAAATAATCCCCCCAAAGCTCCTGAACAGTGGAGTTTCACAGACCCAATTTTTTTTTGCACTGCTTATACACAATACAATGTCTAAAATCTTGCTGACAACACGCAAGGTACTGTTTGGGTAAGGTGGTGACTTCTGACCCACCAAGGGGAATGGTCTGCTTTATGTGCCGTGAGTTTTCAAAAGTGAAAATACAGAACACGATTCTACTTATAGAGTCGGGTTATAATTATGATCCTGGTTCACGCAAAATGCGGTACAGAGAAACTGAAGGGTTTCCAATGTAGATTCTTAGGTAAGCTTCTTGCTACTCTCCCGTCCTACAGCATGTTCGTGACAGCACGTGCTCGTGGCTTCATGGTGCTCAGTAGTTCTCACTCTGCCTCACAGTGGAATTTACTGCATCTACTTTTCTCGCTATATGTACCATTTCTTTACAAACTTGAGCAATGTGTCAAAACCTTTCAGTATCCTGAGGCAAAGGCCAGTCGTGGGGGCTTCTACCCGTGACCCCAGAATTTGAGTGGCTGAAGCAGGAGCACCATGAGTCTGAGGCCAGCCCAGGGTACAGATGAAGACCTTCTCAAGGTCATTCAGTTCTTCCTAAGAGCCGTTACTTCGACTCCCTGTAAACCCGACTTTGCCCCAGGCTGATGCATACCATGGCACTCACTGCGTACCTGACTTCTTCTCTTCAGGGTTGTCCCGCTCACTGTCGTCACGGTGCACAAACTCATCGCCCTCACTCTCTCCATCGGACCTGTCTGTGTCACTGTCGTCAGTGCTGTCGTCGTGCTTATCCTGATCCATGTCCTCAGGGTAGCCGTCATCCTCACTGGTGCTGGAGACGTCATCGTCATGGCCCCGCTGAGCTGAAAAGGGGAAGGGAGCAATATGATCGGACCGTCTGCCACATGGTACTCAGAAATCCAAAACAGCTACTTGAATGCAGAACATAGCTTTTCTGAATATTATCCTGTAAATCATGCCAGGTACTTACGTAGTGTGACAATATTTTCATTGGATAATAGTTTTAGATACTTCCTTCTGGTCATGTTTTTTTCTAAAAGGTTCAAACACGCATTAGAAGCTATGCATGTCATGTTCACTTGCTTCTAGTCAGGTGGCAACAAAACCGAAAGGGAAAGAGGCCCTGATGACCGAAGCATTCTCAGTGCTATCTTGACACCACTGCAAAACAAGCTAATTATTCCCACACTTCTCTACTCGATACATTCAATCAGGCAAATCCAATGAGTTCTCATCTTGTTCACAGGGCATGTGCATGGCACCCCCACTTCCTACACTCTGATGGAAACCATGCTAAGTACTGCAAACATGAAAACAATAGTGAAGGGGGCACAGCGGTCAGAGAGACAACCACTTCTTACCAAGCTCAGGACTATACAACATGTCTTCGTCTCGCCTACGAGGGGGAAGATCTAGAGCAAAGCCCACTTTACGGCCATACATCTGCAGGACTTGGGGAGGTGGGGGCCCAGGTGGAGGGCCAGGAGGTTTTCTACCAGGTGGCAAACGTGGAACACCATGTCCAAGAAGAGGTAGGATAGAAACTGCTCGAGTTGGAGGTCTGTAAGAAAACGTGCCTGTTAGCTGCTCAGGAATTGGAGACTTCAAGGGATCCCATGCTTCTCCCCACCCTAATGACCTCTGACTCGCACTGCACTAGCTTTGGCACATGGTCAGACAGTGCATTTGGTAAATGCTGTCATTACGCTCCAGCTTCCTTACCCATACGCAGAGGTCTTCTTAAGGATGGAGGGTGGCTGGGCCCCAGGAAGCGGAATGTCCTGGATCAGGATGTTGGAGGGAGCGTGGGGCATATCCGGCAAAGGAATGCTCTCCACTTCCACATGCTGGGCATTCTGAGACAGACAGAAACTTCAATAGCATGGGTGATCCAAACTCAGCCCTAATACTCCCATTCACCCGAATCTGCTTTCCAACTAACACAATATGGAAAACAGGAACTGAAGGCTGCCAGGCATGGTGGTATGTGCCTTTGATCCCAGCGCTTGGGAGGTAGATGCAGGCCAGCTGGGGCCACATAAGTGAGACCATCTCAAAACAAAACAAAACAAAACCAACCCCAGAAACACCCCCCTAAAAAGTGTCTTCCTCTCAAGAACTGAAAGAAATTTTTATCACTTCCTCTAAAGGAATGAAATTTAATCTTTTTTCCTTTTAAAATCTCCTTACTATCGACAGATTCTTCTTTTGCTTTGTTTTTTGAGACAGGGTTTCCCTGTAGCCCCAGCTGGCCTGGAACTCACTATGTAGACCAGGCTGGACTTGAACCCAGAGATCTGCCTTCCTCTGCCTCCCAAGTGCTGGGATTAAAGGTGTCCACAACCACACTCAGCAGCTGATTCTTTTTTTAGTATGGTTTGAAATAGCTGTTTTGAGAAATACAACTAAAGTAGTAACAAGGTTACCTTACTTAATGCTAGCAATACACATTCAATAAACAACACATATTCGGAGGCAGCACAAGGCTCTAAAGTTCTTCCCCGTTCCTGGTTTTTCATCCTGTGTTATCGTACATTCCACAAAACTTTGTCTGTCTTTAAAACTGGACACACACTACCTCAGTCACAAAATTACACCATTTGGGGTTTTGTGTTTCTGCCACTGTGAAGTAGAATTTACCATGAAATGTAACCACTCAGTAAGTTCTTCTCCCCAGTCAGTTCCTTACACCATCTGAGGCAACCAGTGCTAATAGATCGGCTTAGCAGGTCGTAGAGCCACGCACAGCTGGAGCAGCCACTCTGAAAACAGCACACCATGCCTGTGACGCTGAGCCATGTTCTTTATTTACTTATTTATAAAAAAATTCATAGTATTCCCTTGTGAAAATGCCTTAGTTTGATCATCTGCAATCCTATTAAGATACACCTAGGCTTTTCCAAGTTTGCAGCTATGGTAGACCTAATTCTTCTAAATACAAAGAACTAAATTTGCTGGAGCACAGGTGAATGTTTCATTTTAAAAGAAACTGCAACAGAGACCTAAAACGATCAATTCTCCCATTTAAGAGCAAACTCGAACACACAGCACACTTGAGCGTCTCTGGAGCAGCTCACCTTGACAGCGTCGAAGTACTGGCTCAGCTGGGCCCTCTTCTGCTCGTAGTCCACTTCCAGCTTTCTCAACTCTTTGTAAATATCTGGATTTTCTTTTTCATAAAGTCGTAGAATTCGTTCAAAGGTTTCACGCAGCTTTTTACGCTTGTCCTTCAGGACTTTCTCATTTAACTGTGGCTGTTGCACTGGGTTAAATTCTGGGAGAAAAAGCACATTACAGAATTGGAAACTTCATTTTGGTGCTAACAGACTGCAATTCAAGAAAAACCTGGATACCAAATCAGATCCATATGCCAGCATTCTGATTTTATTTAAAAGAATATTAAAATTCACTCTTCTAAATTGATTTCGTTTCTGGTCCTAAGAATTAACACAGGGCCTTGCACATGCTAAGTACATGTTCTGTCACTGCGCTACACTCTTAGCCTAAAATTCCACTCCTTTTAAAAAATAGAAAATTTTATTTATTATTTTTATCTTATGTGTATATTGCCTGCATGTATGTGAGTGCACCTGTATTGTGCAATGCCACGGAGGTCAGAAGAGGCCTTTGGATTCCCCTGGAACTGGAGTTAAGGACGGTTAGTAGCCGCCATGTGGATGCTGGATATTGAACCTGGGTCCTCTGAAAGAGCAGTCAGTGCTCTTAACTGCTGAGCCATCTCTCTAGACCCTAAAATTCCACTCTTAAAAAAAAAAACAACCTTGCTCTGCTTCCCTGGGCCTGCAGTACCTGCAGGCCTCTCTCCAACCTGCAGGCTTCTCTCTTCTGGGTAAGTCCATTGGGCTCTACGTGCCTTGACTCCCCCAGCCTGGGGCACTCCCATTACTTGTCTTGGCGCCCCAGACACCTGGGGAACCACCACTGCTTCCTGATCCTGTGCACCTAGAGTAACTCAGCACCTTCTAGGGTCCCCAGGGGCACTCTGTGCTGGGCACAGCCCTCACCTCCCTCTGCCTCCCTGGGTCTCCACAACCCGCTAGCCTCTTTCCTGGACCTGGGGCTGACCTTTCCTCTTGCTGGTCCTTTGCATCCAGACCAACCCAGCTCCACAGTGCAGTCCTCAGGGGCCCTTGGGGCCACCTCCCACCCCCATCTTCCTTTGCATCTCTGGGTGGCACAGCCAACCAGCTACCCTAGACTAGCATCTTTCCTGGGCCCAGCAACTAGGCCAGTCCAATCCCCAAATTCCTGAGGCCAAAATCTACCCTGGAGGGATCCAGACGTTAGGAGAAAGCCTGAGAGCATCTGATCCTCATCTGACTTGGGCCTCTGTAGGAACTCCTGAAGATAAAAGCAATCTGGCCACTCCAATATAAAATCAAAAGAGAGAACTGGAAGCTTAGAGGAACCAGCCTGTCATGCCCAAAAAGTAAACCACAAAGACACATAAAGTTCACAAAAAGAAGCAGACCTAAA